CTCTACAACGTAGCACTCGAACAAAGAATGACTTTGTTCGAGTATTACGTTGTAGAGGCTTGAAAGAAATAATTATATAGTAAACTTGAAAGTATAATTAAAATATTTTTTTTAGTAACAAACTAATATTATGATTGATTTTATATGTTTTTTTTTTTCAATCAAGCAAAGAAACAAACAAACGTTGCCGAACACAACCTATGATATTAACTGGCAGGACATCGTCTGCTGGGTTCAGCTAGTATGATATAAAAGCTTGTCACGAGACTTATCTGTTTTATAAAACCGTTATTTTTTTTCTTAGAATTGCCTACTTATGTCAATAACAAGTTACATATCGTTTTTTTCATGTACAATCAACATACGATACACGTACACAGCAGTATTAAGCAACTATTTTACGCTGGTATTCTGTGAGCGTGGTTCTTCCCTTCTACTTACATCTAAATTAAGGTTGCATCATGCAGCATAGCTCTACCGCGTATGTAAGCTAAAATGTGAAAAATGTTATTTCAAAGCAAATCTCATATTTTGCCGAGCCTGTGTGGCGCTACGTCTAATAAGGGACTTCTTTCATAACAAAAGCTTTACTTAAAACCGAGACTGTCAATAAACACCGTTTTGTAATTAAACCATAACCATCTTATCAAAAAGAGCAATTAATTATTAATCTCATTTTTCTACTAGAATTATTTACTTTTATATAAGAGGGAGTAAACCAGCATGAGGCTTACCCGATGTTAAGTCGACGCTGCCCATGAACAACTACGACACCTGGGTAGTTGCAGGTGCGTTGCCTGTGCGATGGTAATCTTAGCAGCTAGAATCAATACGAACTATTTCCTCTGAGCACCCCCTTTGTAGTATTTACTTAAGTCGGATTGTTCAGGTTAAATCGTTAGTTAAATCATCGAAGAAGTTGTGCGAAGAAAAAGATTTTTGGTAAATTGCACAGTTGTGGGCTGTATCGCGTTTCGTCGCGATGTGCGATGGTAATACTTAGCAGCTAAAAGCAATACGAACTATTCGAAACTATTTCCTTTGAGCACCTCCCTTAGTAGTAATGTCTTTTAAAGTTGCAAGTGCTGTGCCAGCATGAAATGTCCCTTTTCATAAATAGGAGAGTAGGAGAGTACAAGCATGATTGTAAATGTGAGCTATCTATAGCATACGACAAACTAAGATCAATAAAACTCACGTGAAACAACATATTATGGCTGACGTGAACAAACGACGCTCGGGGAAGTTTGCAGTCTGTAAACATTTTCTAGATCACCCTCGCTATTACATCACATTTGATTGATCATAAATGCCAGCAAAACACAGATTCTTACAAGGATGGTTTGAGAGCTTATCGAAATCAAAAACATCTTAAGTTCAGGTTGCTGCCATCGGCTTAGGATCCTATAATTAATAAAGTTACATGTCCAAGCAGTAGGTATACTGCAAGATTTCTGGATAATATAGTTCCTTCTGCGTAGATCGGACTAAAAATTATTAAGCTATAAGTAGCTGGGGTCGACTATTACATTAAGACGTTGAACACCTTGGTATCTGCAAGACCATGGATGCTGCAAAGTACTCGAAACAACGGAAATATAAAAATACGTTTGTTGAATGTATCAATAGTTGAATGTGATAAAATTCGTAAAAAAAAAGTATTTTCTTTAAATGTTTAAGGAGAAGGCATTATACTGTTATCTATTTTTTACCATTTATGTATTATACAACATTTTTAACCGTTTCAAAAATGTCATTATTTTGTGGTTGATTTTATTTTACATATTTCCAAGAGAATACTTCAAAATTGCAGCCTCCCACCATTAAATGTATCAATAATTTTTAAATATATATATATATATATATATATATATATATATATATATATATATATATGTGTGTGTGTATGTATACCCAATTTATAAAGAGAAAATATTGCTACAAAGTAGTATGAAGACTATTTAACCAAATTTATTTATTTGAACTAAATAATGTGGCTTTTTGCGGTCTTTCTTTATGCGGTGTTTGATTCATATCATTAGCTCTATTGATTGGTATCGGTTCTGACAAGTACCTCTTCAAAATTCCATGAATATATTTTACTTCTCATTTTTGTAAATAAAAATAAACTTGCTCTTAAAATTTCCTCTTAAATATTTAAGGTAAAAGTGCCTGCCTGTACGTTTAATTATACTTCTGTCAACAATTAAAAACATATCGCTTACAAAAAATTATTCGTGAAATCATGAATGCAACCTCGACAACCAATTATAAGCTGTTTGTTTACTAGTCCCATTAAAATAAAAAGTAAAATGGTAGACTAGGGCTGGCACAGGCGTATTCTCATTAATGAGTGTGTTGTGCTAGAAAAGTGACTGCTGCCCTGCCCCAATGCGTTAGCATTTTGTTCACGTACTCGATATATTTTTAACTCCATAGACATCCAGGATACCCCATGATAATTCACTTTACCGCCGAGTATAAAATAATTTGTACGTGGTTTCTTATCCCCGAAACTCGTGCAGGTCTAATTAAAAGTGATCAAAAACTCATAACATAAGTATGATAATAGTTATATCTTGGCATAGCAGACTTGTACTATCTTATAACTTGCACTTAATCGATTTAATGGCCAAGTATTTTTACACTGAAACTGAAAAGAGGCGTTTGCCCGTTAATGGGTCACATCGTAGTAATTAAGCACAAACTTTTATCTTTTTTTTATTTTTTTGTCTTTTATCTTTACGTGGTAGAGCCATGCTGCAACTATATTATGGTTGTAGCACGAATTGGTCGGTTCGACCGGGGAATGACTACCCTCTCACAGATTACCAGCGTAAAACTGTAGCTAAATGCTGCTATATTTTGTATGGTGTGTGTAGAAAACCGGAGACCCTTTTTACAGCACACGACACACAGATCATTTATTATGCCTAAAATTGTGTAAATATTATTTTTATATAAAAAATTAAAATAATTTTAAACAACACAACTATGTATTCCTAGTCAACAGGGGAGATGGGACTTTATCTCCTAAATACAGGTTACTCAGTAACCTACCTGACTCAGGTTTCTACCCATTTGAAATTGTGAACTATGAAAATGTCAATAAAGAATTATTATTATTATTATTGTATCTATATAGTTTTCTCATCTGGTTGGGATCTATAAATATATAATTATAAATGAAAATGAAAAGATAAATATATACATAAATATCAATAAAATAAAATAAATACAAAAATACATAAATAAATAAAAGCCCAACCAGATGGAAGCCCTCGGCAGGGGAGACCAAACGGCCGAGGGTTAGGGGGAAAGGGAAAGAAACCGGCGGACGATGCGGGCATTATCAAGGAGCATCGCCTTCTGCATTTGAGCCCGGAGCGGTCCGTCACGGAGTCCCAGTCGCCTCAGATGACCAGAGAGGCTAACTGGGATTAGCCCATTCGCAGAGACGACTACAGGAATAATTTCGGTCGGCAGACCACCCCACATGTCGGTCACCTCGTGAGCCAGGTCCAGATATTTTGATTGCTTATCTGTTTCGGCTTTCACGAGGTTCTCGTCATACGGGATGGTAATATCGACCAAAAATATCCTTGACTATGCCCGGTCCATCAGCACAATATCAGGCTTATTCGCAAGAATAGTCCTGTCTGTAATGATGGCCCGGTCTCAGTAGAGCCTGGCGCGGTCATTTTCGAGCACGGCTTCCGGCAAGTACTTGTAATACGGCAATTTTCGGTCCACGAGACCGTATTTCAGAGCGAGCTCCTGGTGTAGAATTCTGGCTACTAGGTTGTGCCTGTGCAAGTACTCAGAGTTAGAAAGCGCCGAACAACCGGAGATGACATGCCTAAGCGACTCACCGGGATGGCTACAAGCTCGACGGACGTCGACGGTGCCATCCTTTATGATGTATCTCCGATAGTTGTTGGTCTTAACAACCTGATCCTGTATTGCACAGACAAAACCCTCGGTTTCCCCGAAGAGGTCACCGAAACGTAGCCAGTTGAGGGAGGCGACTGTATCTACGAAGGGCTCATGAAGAGCCCTGTAGTACCTCCCGTGGAGTTCCTTCTCCTTCCATACGGTCTCCCGGTCGGAAATGCTAAGCACTGCTGGGTCCTGCCATTGCTCTTTGGCCAAGGATAGAGGGGTAAGCCCTTTATCACTAGAAATGACGTCATTATAGAATGGATCATTCGATCTCGCCAGGAAGTAATCACGGAGGCTGCACACTTCGCGATTATGCATGGTGAGCGCGCACAGAAAGCCACACCCACCATGCTTTGGCGGCAAGTACAGCCTCATTACCGACGATCTCGGATGATGCATCCTATGGGACGTCATGGTAGTGCGGACTCTTCTATCCAGGGCGTTAAGTTCAGTCTGAGTCCACCTGAGTATGCCAAAGGTATACATAAGGACAGGCATGACCCAACCGTTATATGCGTGTGTCTTATTCACACCGGACAAAAGGCTATTAAGCACTTTGGTCAAGCGTGCATAAAACACGTCGCAAACTGACTGTTTCACATCAGCCTCATCGATACCGATATTCTGTGACATACCCAGGTATCGGTATGTTTCAGCCTCGGAAAGGGTCCTTAAGTTGACGGGCATAGATAAATCTATGCCCTCAGAGTTAGCAACCCTTCCCCTCTCGACATGGAGGACCGCACACTTATCCGTCCCCAGCTCCATTCCAATGGAACTGCTAAATTCACAAGTGATGTTAAGCAATTCCATAAGATGGGAGCGACTGGAGGCGAATAACTTGTGGTCATCCATATAGAAAAGGTGGGCCACTTTTGTTCCTCCCTTCCGTAGCTGAAATCCTCTCCCGCAACTTCCATCCAAGGGCCCTCGCTGTGGTTTACGGGCTCTGACCACAGGTCACGCCAAAATGCGACAGTGTCAGCCTGATCCGGTCCTGGGCATGCTCCACATACCTCTGGTCGCTCCAATGATTTATAGAGCCTCTTCTGATCACTCTAGAAGAGACGATTCTGGTTGAACCGCCTTGACCTCTCGCTAAATCGTCGAATCCGCTTCCCCCAAGCAGCGATTTTTTGCTTCAGGTCATCTATACGCTCCGTTAGTTTTTGCGTGATATCCGGCTGGAACAAACTGATATTTGTCCCGGCAAACGCCATCCTAACGGTGCGCATAGTCCTCGGTCTATTATTACCCGACCTGAAGCTTGTCAGTCTGCCGATAAGGGCCCTTGCCTTTGCGATACGGTCCTCAATTCTTTTTCTCCAGGCTGGGATGGCGCTACTTTTTTGAGTAGCACGTCCAGCCACGGGAAGTTTGGCGCCAATAATACGGCATACTGCCAGTGCGGCGCCAAAAAGAATTGAATCCGTCTCGCAAAGGTCCCGGCTGGCTTCCAAATAGGTCACCAGCATTGGGTTAAGAGCCCGCACGACAGCCCGATTTCGCTTGCTAAGGGGTATGCGGGGAAGTCGCGGTCGATTTTCGAGAGGCATGCTGCGCGTTTCCAGCATCGACTCTTCCAATATGCTCCTCATTTTCTCTAGTTCGTGGGAGACTATTCCATCATCGTCTGAATTAGCCACAAATGGAATGTGGACGGCAGCATCCACATATGCAGTTTGTTGCGCATCTAGTGGCGCCGCATTCCCAGCCGTAGCATTTCCATTCGATGAAGGAATAGCCTCACGTCGTAGTCGCTCGAGTTCGGCGTCACCAAATATGTTGGAGCGCAGGATGTACCTAACTCGGTCTGCCAGGTTTTGCTCAGTGACGGATAGAGATGGCTCCAGCTCTGCAAAAAAGCGATACATCCGAGCCCGATACGCCAAACATCCAGTTTCTTCCCCTTTTGCCCTAAAATACGCCCGCAGTGCGTTTTCATTCATTGATTTAGACCAACGCATGCGACGTGCTCCACCAGCGGCGGGTGCCGCTTGCTGAGTCCGAGAAGACCCAGCCGACACCAAGCCTTCTGGTGGGGATGATGGATGCGGGGGGCTGCTAGGTGGTCTTGCAACACCCCGCGCTCGGCTGGCGGCCCGCATGCTGTCGCGTCCAGCGCCAGCTCCAGACGCGCCCTGGTGACCTCCAGGCAGCGGCCCTTTGCGCACTATCTTTTTCTCCATCATCCGTAATATGGGCGTCCATTAACGGGAGACGCCCAGGCCCGGCACCGTATCGTGGACAGCCATAAGCACAAACGGGCCTTTGCACCCTGAATTCTGCCGAGGCACGGCGCTCACACCTCTCGCAAGGCGCTGACTGACTGCGTTGACGTAGCAGTTTTGTCACTTAACTGTTACTTCAGCGGGCGATGTGGTCGTCAATTCCCTACGCCATTTTATTTTATTATTATTATGGGGTATCTATATAGTTTTCTCATCTGGTTGGGTTCTATAAATATATAATTATAAATGAAAATGAAAAGATAAATATACATAAATATCAATAACATAAAATAAATATAAAAGTACATAAATAAATAAAAGCCCAACCAGATGGAGGCCCTCAGCAGGGGAGACCAAACGGCCGAGGGTTAGGGGGAAAGGGAAAGAAACCGGCGGACGATGCGGGCGGTATCGAGGAGCACCGCCTTCTGCATTTGAACCTGGAGCGGTCCGCCACGTAGTCCCAGCCGCCTCAGATGACCCGAGAGGCTGACTGGGATTAGCCCATTCGCAGAGACGACTACAGGAATAATTTCTGTCGGCCAACCACCACACATGTCCGTCACCTCGTGAGCCAGGTCCAGATATTTAGTTCGCTTATCTGTTTCGGCTTTCACGAGGTTCTCGTCATACGGAATGGCAATGTCGACCAAAAATATCCTTGATTGTGCCCGGTCCATCAGCACAATATCAGGCTTATTTGCAAGAATAGTCCTGTCTGTGATGATGGCCCGGTCCCAGTAGAGCCTGGCGCGGTCATTTTCGAGCACGGCTTCCGGCAAGTACTTGTAATACGGCAATTTCCGGTCCACGAGACCGTATTTCAGCGCGAGCTCCTGGTGTAGAATTCTGGCTACTAGGTTGTGCCTGTGCAAGTACTCAGAGTTAGAAAGCGCCGAACAACCGGAGATGACATGCCTAAGTGACTCCCCGGGATGGCGACAAGCTCGACAGACGTGGACGGTGCCATCCTTTAGGATGTATCTCCGATAGTTGTTGGTCTTAATAACCTGATCCTGTATTGCACAGACAAAACCCTCGGTTTCCCGAAGACGTCACCGAAACGTAGCCAGTTGAGGGAGGCGACTGTATCTACGAAGGGCTCACGGAGAGTCCTGTAGTACCTCCCGTGGAGCTCCTTCTCTTTCCATACGGTCTCCCGGTCGGAAATGCTAAGCACTGCTGGGTCCTGCCATTGCTCGTTGGCCAAGGATAGAGGGGTTAGCACTAGAAATGACGTCATTATAGCATTCTATGATCCATTGATCATCCGATCTCGCCAGGAAGTAATGACGGAGGCTGCACACTTCACGATTATGCATAGTGAGCGCGCTCAGAAAGCCACGCCCACCATGCTTTCGCGGCAAGTACAGCCTTATTACCGAAGATCTCGGATGATGCATCCTATGGGACGTCATGGTAGTACGGACTTTTCTATCCAGGGCGTTAAGTTCAGTCTGGGTCCACCTGAGTATGCCAAAGGTATACATAAGGACAGGCATGACCCAACCGTTATATGCGTGTGTCTTATTCACACCGGACAAAAGGCTATTAAGCACTTTGGTCAAGCGTGCATAAAACTCGTCGCAAACTGACTGTTTCACACCAGCCTCATCGATACCGATGTTCTGTGACATACCCAGGTATCGGTATGTTTCAGCCTCGGAAAGGGTCCATAATTTAACGGGCATAGATAAATCTATGCCCTCAGAGTTAGCAACCCTTCCCCTTCTCAACATGGAGAACCGCACACTTATCCGTCCCCAGCTCCACTCCAATGGAACTGCTAAACTCACAAGTGATTTTTAGCAATTCCATAAGTTGGGAGCAACTGGAGGCGAATAACTTAAGGTCATCCATATAGAAAAGGTGGGTCACTTTTGTCCCTCTTTTCCGTAGCTAAAATCCTCTCCCGAATCCCTCCAGTAAGGTACTGAGAGGGTTCAGGGAGAGGCAGAACCAGATTGGACTCAGACAATCGCCCTGGAAGATACCCCTTCTTATCCTTATGTGGTTCTCCGCAGCCATCATCCGCTCACCCAGATGACAAAGTATCGTACTCCACTGCCCCATACACTGCTCGAGGAAGTCTCTCACTGTACAGTCTATCTTGTACAGCTCGAGGACTCTCTTTAGACATGTATGGGGCACCGAGTCGAATGCCTTTCTGTAGTCTATCCTGGCGGCGGAGAAGTTCCGACGGTTGCGTTTCACCACTTTGCCAATGACCGCGTTAATGAGGAGTGGTTCCATAGTTCCACGACCACCGCCCCGACATCCATTTTGAGCGCGTGACATCACCTGATTTAGCTCCAGGTGACGAGTGATTCTCGCGCTCAAAATGGATGTCAGTGTCTTATATATGGTGGGTAGACACGTAATGGGGCGGTATTTGCTCGGGTCTGTGGTAACCTGGTCTTTAGGAACCAAATGAGTGATCCCAGTAGTGAAGAGGCTCGGGAGCGACTTCTGATCGAGATCCTTTTGAAACTGACGGGCGAGCACAGCGTGACACACCATGAACCCCTTCAGCCAGTAGTGATGCAGTCCGTCGAGTCCCGGAATTTTCCAATTCGGGGCTCTACGGACCGCCTCAAGCTACGTCATCCGGCTTTATGATGACGGGGTTCACTGACTCGCCACAACTTCCGTCCAAGGGCCCTCGTTGTGGTTTACGGGCTCTGACCACAGGCCACGCCAAAATGCGACAGTGTTAGCCTGATCCGGTCCTGGGCCCGCTCCACATACCTCTGGTCGCTCCAATGATTTGTAGAGCTTCTTCTGATCACTCTGGAAGAGACGATTCTGGTTGAATCGCCTTGACCTCTCGGTAAATTGGCGAATCCGCTTCCCCCAAGCAGCAATCTTTTGCTTCAGGTCGTCTATGCGCTCCGTTAGTTTCTGCGTGATATCCGGCTGGGAAAAACTGATATTTGTCCCAGCAAACGCCATTCTAACGGTGCGCACAACCCTCGGTCTATTATTACCCGACCTGAAGCTTATCAGTCTGCCGATAAGGGCCCTTGCCTTTGCGATACGGTCCTCAATTCTTTTTCTCCAGGCTGGGATGGCGCTACTTTGTTTAGTAGCGCGTCCAGCCATGGGAAGTTTGGCGCCAATAATACGGCAAACTGCCATTGCGGCGCCAAAAAGAACTGAGTCCGTTTCGCAAAGGTCCCGACTGGCTTCCAAATAGGTTACCAGCATTGGGTTAAGAGCCCTCACGATAGCCCGATTTCGCTTGCTTAGGGGTATGCGGAGAAGTCGCGGTCGATTTTCGAGAGGCATGCTGCGCGTTTCCAAAATCGCCTCTTCCAATATACTCCTCATTTGCTCTAGTTCGTGGGAGACCATTTCATCATCGTCTGAATCACCCACAACTGGAAGATCCATGGCGGCTTCTACGCGTGGCAGCTGGTCTGTCGCCTGAGGAGCCTCATCCCCAGCCGTAGCCAATTCATTCGATGAGGGAATGGCCTCACGTCGTAGTCGTTCGAGCTCGGCATCATCGAATATTTTCGAGCGCATGATGTACCGAACTCGGTCTGCCAGGTTCCGTTCCGTGACGGGAATAGACGGCTCCAGCTCAGCAAAAAAGCCCGAGCCCGATACACTATCCCCACAGTTTCTTTCCCTTTCGCCCTATAGTACGCCCGCAATGCGTTTGCGTTCATATCCCTTGTCCAACGCATGCGGCGCAATCCACCAGCGGCGGATGCCGCTTGCCGATTCCGAGAGGACCCTGCCGACATCAAGCCGTCTGGTGGGGATGATGGATGCTGGGGGCTGTTAGGTGATCTTGCAGCTCCTCGCGCTCGGCTGGCGGCCCGCATGCTGCCGCGTCCAGCGCCAGCTCCAGACGCGCCCCGGCGACCCCCAGGCAGCGGCCCTATACGTTTTCCAATCTTATCCATCATCCATTTTTGGGTGCCAATTAGCGGGAGACGCCCAGGCCCGGCACCGTTTCATTGTATCATTGTACGGCCGTAAGCACAAACGGGCCTTTGCACCCTGAGTACTTATTATTATTATGTGGGGTATCTATATAGTTTTCTCATCTGGTTGGGATGTATAAATATATAATTATAAATGAAAATGAAAAGATAAATATACATAAATATTAATAAAATAAAATAAATACAAAAATACATAAATAAATAAAAGCCCAACCAGATGGAAGCCCTCGGCAGGGGAGACCAAACGGCCGAGGGTTAGGGGGAAAAGGAAAGAAACCGGCGGACGATGCGGGCGGTATCGAGAAGCACCGCCTTCTGCATTTGTGCCCGGAGCGGTCCGTCACGGAGTCCCAGTCGCCTCAGATGACCCGAGAGGCTGACTGGGATTAGCCCATTCGCAGAGACGACTACAGGAATAATTTCGTTCGGCATACCACCCTACATGTCGGTCACCTCGTGAGCCAGGTCCAGATATTTTGTTCGTTTATCCGTTTCGGCTTTCACGAGGTTCTCGTCATACGGAATGGTAATGTCGATCAAAAATATCCTTGACTGTGCCCGGTCCATCAGCACAATATCAGGCTTATTCGCAGAAATAGTCCTGTCTGTGATGATGGCCCGATCCCAGTAGAGCCTGGCGCGGTCTTTTTGGAGCACGGCTTCCGGCAAGTACTTGTAATACGGCAATTTTCGGTCCACGAGACCGTATTTCAGAGCGAGTTCCTGGTGTAAAATTCTGGCTACTAGGTTGTGCCTGTGCAAGTACTCAGAGTTAGAAAGCGCCGAACAACCGGAGATGTCATCTCCGGTTGTTCGGCGCTTTGTAACTCTGCCTAAGTGACTCCCCGGGATGGCGACAAGCTCGACAGACGTCGACAGTGCCATCCTTTAGGATTATTATTATATTATTATTATTATTCTTTCTCGCTGTTCTAGACTCATGTCATCGTGTTAGCCAAGTTCGAAAAAGAAAAGGGTGAAGCAAAACTATTAGACCTCGAT